TCTCACCGGAGTACTTCCCCCGTCATTCTTAAATAACCGATACTAATGAAACGGAGGAATCGAACGTTTTTAACGGCAGGGTATCGCGGTATACCTTTCAAGTATCGGTACACCGTGCAACACTAGTCAGGAGTCAGTGTCTCCTCCCCCAAACTCACACATATACAACTCGATGTGAACTGAAGGGCCGCATGAAACTAGGCAAAGAGCCACATGCGGCTTGAGAGCCGCGGGTTGGCCACCCCTGGCATAGAGGTCATTCCAGAATTGGAGGACAATTTAGACACCAACATTTTTGAAAAATGAACCTTTTATTTTATAATGTTTTTTTATGTATTTAGGAAAAACAGATAATAAACCATCAAAAAAAGTGATTTGCCCAGCTTGGCATTAAATGTATATTTTCCCAGAAGAATTACCCCTGTTACTCTAATTATAGTAACAGGGTTGAAAGTAACAGGGTTGAAAATCAATGCTAATTTGAGCCTTTAACCTCAGGAATTATTGCTAGATGTAGCATGTAATGCTACTTTCCAAGGCAATGACAAACTTGGATATCTAATGCAAGAAAGATAACTTTGAAATTAATATGCTTTATTCTGGTAATATCAGTAACAGGGTTGAGTGGGTCAGAGTGCCACACTCTTTTACGACTGAAAAGATTGTAAAAATATGAAAAATAAAAGAGAGGACTTAGTTTTGGTCTACCCATGGCACTAGCACATGGCTTGCTGATGTCACTTCCACTGTGTCATCTGATTTACAGTTTTTTCACTTCCTGTGCCAATCTAAAAAGGTTTGGGTAACCTAAAAAGGTTTGGGTAACAGGGTTGAACGCATGTTGAGGGACACACCTTCTGTGCAAAATTACTGTTATTTAAAATATGTTTATGATTTAACAAATGGATTTTACCATTACAAGAGACATATATCAATAGAATAATACCAAAAGAAATAAATAAAATCCCTATTTTAAATGTTATATTTGACATGCAAGTTGGTCACCAAGAAGCGGGGACAAGAGAAAAATGCCATTTTAGGGGATGTTCGAGAGCTATTTGATAATTTAAATAATATTTTGAAACCACTTTTTCTACAATTTTATAAACATTTTGTCTCAAGACAAGTATGTTTAACACAACAAGTGCATGTTTTAGCATTTTGGGCATGGATTATTAGATTTTTTTATATGGGGGACATGAAATGTCCTCCAATTCTGGAATGACCCTTAAATGTTTAGGACTAAACCCTTAAATGTTGGGTTTAGTCAAACATAAAAACAGATCTAAATCATTTATAGCTTCTGGCAGTTAACTCCTCTCAGCTAAGAAAAGCATTTGGAGTTTTATCTATTATGTTTATTCATTTATTATAATTTGTAATTGATTAAATGCATAGGGAAGTATCCCCATGTTAAGAGTTTGATTGATGGGCCCACATAAGACATAGTGGTTGGACTTACTATAGTATAAAGCTGACTAATGAGTCCCAGGGTTTTTTGAAACAGGATGTTGCTGAGTTGTTTTTATAAGGGCACTAGTGTTCTAAGGTTTTGAAGGTCTTTTGGAATCTCATCTTAGTACAAGTAATATTCTTTTAATTGAATGCTTCCTACAACTCATCATTGTCCCAGTAAAGGAGGAAAATGCTGCAGCATTTCTGAAGTAATTAAACAGCAGACTTGTTATCTCAGGCAGCATATATCAGGGTCAGTGTGCGGTATGAGGACCAGGAACAGAAGCTATGACATACATTTTTTCCCCCCCTCAGTCATCCTTGTGTGGGGCCTAATTGGGGACTAATTGAGGCCAACTATTGTCATAAAAGGACTCTGCCCTAATTAGCCCTTATTATGGTGTCCCACCATTTTTTAAGGGAAAACTTGTGACATGATTTCACAGTAACTTCCATGAAGTATAGTTATCATGAAGAATTATCCTCTAAAAATGTTTTACAGAATGTTGGCGGAAAGTTTTAAGTCGTTCTACATAATCAAGGAATAAAACCACTTGTATACTATCTCTATGTGCTATTCTGAGCCATTTTGAAAAGCAGTTACATATTCAACCCTGCTCATTAGTGAGTTGAACTTGAGTCTTTGAAATGTGAGTGACCCACACTGACCTCATTCACTGCAACACATGAATTGTTTATTTGTTCAAAAAAACTATGCAGAGTCACATACCTCTAAAAGTTTCATAAAGGTAAACACAACAAATAAGATACGCATTAGTTAGATTTTAAAGAAATTGTCTCATCTCTTCTATCCTGTCTGAGGACATCTTCATGCCCTCTAGGGGGCAGCGTTACAGCACCGTGAGAGAACTGTCTCACAACCTGTGTTTCATGCATTAACAATGCATGAAACGCAGGAAAATACTCTGTAGGACTTTAACTAGAGCTATACCGGGAAAATTGTTTTACAATGTGTGCATTCAGTACACACAGTCAATAAAAAGGACCGTTTAACATCAATGTATTGCATCTAAAACTATTCTATTCATTTGTTGAACTTGTTAATATAAAAAACGCTATCAGAAGATCAAAGATACAAAACAGTTTGAAAGAAATTGAAACTCTTGTGTATTACAAGTTTTAAAACCATGATCATCTCATCATCATGTGTTATGTACTAAGTAAAGTAAGGAGCTATGACATACTTTACTTTACCACTCCCTTTTTTATTAGTTTAATATGTTTTCACTAATAATTCCCTTTCATATCCCTCCATAAAATGTGGCCTTCAGTTTTAAGATACTTAAAAAGGCTTTTGTAATCAGAAATTAACACGTTTTAGAAGTTTAGTTTATTGCACCATAACCAGATTGAGGAAATTGAAAAAACTGAACATTTTGTGATTTTACCATTTACAACAGCTTTGTGTAATTATAATTTCACATTGATATAGTATTTTTTGCATGTTTTGATTGTTAAAATTGGCCCTTATAATTAGCAGTCTTTATGAATCTGTCACTTTCAATCAAAACAAAGTACAAACAATATATTTAGTTTTTTTAAGCATAGAGTTCAACAATACAATTATTCTACATTGGACTCGCACATTATTTCATTTCTCAGTTATTTCCTTTGTTTCCTTAGAGGACGTGTGGCTGCTTGCAGACATCCTGCGTGTCTGTGAAGGGAAACCCGAGAGGTCAGGGATGAGAAGCTATTAGTGAAATCATTTAGAAATGATTTGACTGACTCAGATTTCAGCTGTGCCTCAACAGGCTGATGGTAAGATGGCAACATTTGTCATTTGTCACTGTTCAATAATGACCTGTGTGGCATTCATTCAAAAGGGGACAACCTCAGTCACATTAATGAAATGTTAGAAAGTGCGTAGAGAAACGGCAATTGGATGTGAGAAAACCTGTTCTTAAAGTAGATATAGTGAGTTTTTACAGTTTTACTACTTAACCTTCAGAATGACTTTAAAAGTGTAATTAAATAAAAATTTACAGGAAATGTAAAAAGATGAAATAGTGCAGAAAGAAACATACTTATTATTTGAAAGAAAATCATTAACATATAACATTTTATACTAAGGTTAATACTAAAGCTCCTCACCCAAATAGTTTACAAAGTAAGTTCCTGCGCATTAAGTGTCTATGCTGTTTTTTATCATTATTATCTGTACAAACAGGAAGAAGGAAAACTATCAATCACTGTGCATGGCATCACCTTCCTGTGTTTGGGACTGTGTGTCGCCTGCTGACATGTTTACAGAGCTGTGGATCTCGGCCTTGTGCTCTCTGGCTTTGGCCCTCAGCTTGGCGATGCTGCAGGAGCGGAGCTCGTCTGAGCTCGGCCCCCCCGGCCCCTCCGGCCTCTCCCACTTCCCCGACCTCGGGGTCGCAGGCTGCAGACGAGCGCTCAGCGCTGCACTCGCAGCTTTTGTCCATGGATAGTTCTCTCCTTCCTGTCGTCTCTCCCAGGTTTCGTCGTCACAACTCTCCTTCTGCTGCTTCAAACTCCTGCTGGCTTTCTCACACATTTCATCACTGTCTCTTTTTACAAAAGGCCCTGCGAGCTGGCCCTGGAGTTTCAGCTGCCGCCTCATCTTGGCACGGCGGTTTTGAAACCAAACCTGGAGACAAATGTAAAAATACTTAATAGATGTAATAGGGGGATAGAAATGTAAAAACAGTTTGTGTTGCAGTGTTTAAAATCTGGACAAAAACATTTTGGATAATGCGTCAGCCTCTAAGTTCAAATTCAAGTTCATTTTAGGATGTTATCCTAATTTTATATAAATTGATTTAAAGCTAATTGACTTTTAGTTTAGTTTGCTGTAACTATCCCTCCCATCAGTAACTGCCGTGAAGACAAATCCTGACATATATATAATTATTTGAATATTGTTTGTCACTACACAGAACTTGGTACTGCTGGACTGACAACATAGTCTGCAGGGCGTAAAAGATTCCTTTTCAAATAAAAATGAATAACAGTTGACTCAGTTCAGTGATCCAGTTACCTGCACTCTGGCCTCGATGAGGTCCAGTCTGAGGGCCAGGGCCTCCCTCATGAAGATGTCGGGGTAGTGGGTGGTCTCGAAGGCCTTCTCCAGCTCCTCCAGCTGCCAGCTGCTGTAGTTGGCCCGTGCACGCCGCTGCTTCACTGGCCTCTGTTCATCTGGAAAACACAGCGCGAGCACCAATTACACAATCGCCAACGGGTGACAAGGAACTAATGGCTCTAGATTGGATAATTAGCACAGTGATCATTAGGCCCGCTTTAACACTGCTTGATAATTGATTGTTAGTTACGAGCTGTTAGCCAATCTTTTGTAAACATTTACACTGCGATCAGATGGTGCTCACTGACTGTCTTAGAGACTGTAGACATGCTGTGCCAGTGTGGTTGCACGTGTCCAGAAGCATCAGCCTGCTTTATGGCCACACTTTGAACTCACCTATGCCCTCTGTCAGCGGCCCTATCCCGACCGCCTGAGTGGCCAGGAGGAAAGCTTCCTTGCATGGATCTGGCTGCAGATAATTCCTCAAGGATTCGTAGCTGATGAAGGGACCCGGGATCAGAAACTGATGAGGAGAGCCCAGCCTGGCTGGGAATGCAGGGAAGAAATGAGCTGCAGGTGAATGGAACAATGCAGGCAGGAGAGTAGATATTAGTTGTCCTGGGCCAAACATGTCCATGATGTTAAGAGTCCAATATTAAGTCCAATGTTAAGGGACAAGTTTAATCCTACAAGGACATTGAAAAGTTGCTGAAATGCATCTCAACGTCCATGAAGAAGAAGAGAAAATAATTTTCCGCATGTATCTGCTGGTTGTTAAAGCTGCAGCATGTGTCTGAGGGGCAGGTATAAGGTGTTGCCAGAAGAGTAAAGGTAACATTTGAGTAGTGGAGGTGGTCTCACCTGTGCTACTCTTCCAAAACCTCCCCCTTGCCTCTCCCAGTCACATGACCTCCAAACAGAGAGCAGGGTTTGGTCTATAGGACGAAAATCCAACCTGTGATTCAGCTCTCAGTGCATTATCAGTACTACTGCATCCGTGTTTGTCGCATTAGTCATTTCTTTCCCAACAATCTGTTTTCTTAAATGAACTGATAGCGCATGGTTCCCCTGAAATGTTGCCCTTTGTCTACAAGGTAAAAGTTGCAACATCAGTGGTGATGGACAGGAGCTCAGTGTGTATGGAAACTCATCTGTGAAAATGTGTCAACACATTTTGACACGTTCGCCTTAAAGATTTGCACAACTCTTTCCTAACCGTTTTTACAGTCATCAAATATATTAAAAATAAATCCTAAAAAAGGAGACAAGTTGTTCAGACCTGTGGGATGAAATCAAGCAGGACGCAGCAGACCCTGAACAGCTGTTTCTTGGATTAACACATTTGTCCTGACAAAGCAATCAAAGCTGAAGACTGCATGTTTATTAAGCCCTCTTTGTACAGTTTTGTTTACTCTGTTGGTAGTTATTTTATTCTTGTGTAAAATGTAATTGTTTGTTGAGCATCTGACAGGCTGTGAAAATCACACTACCTACACTTTTATACAATATTAAATGATGTCTTTAAAAACACCTGTAGAATAACAAACAACTGAATTGTTGTGTTTTATTTTATGGTAATAATACATTTGCATTTTAGACTTTTCATCCTGATAAGACTTGCTACCATTATACATTCACATTTGACTTGATGTATGGATTATATGGAAGCCAACAGGTACGCAATCTTCGATTAGGAAAATAATAGCAACTTGAGAAATGGGTTAAAAACTATTGTAATACTTCATCAAAACTCTCACTCAAAGACTATACTGATCATTTACAGTGACATACAGTACATCAAATACTGTGTTGGATTATGGGCAAACTCACGAAAAAAGGCAAAATAATTGTGAAGTATTATAATGATCCAACCAGACCATCTTATCATATCATATAAAAATCAGGTTAGACCAAAAGCAAGAAGCATTCCTGACGGTACCCATGGGTTGTTGTCAGTAATTGAGCATGTATCAATATGGTGGAAAGGATATTTTTGAATACGTGAAAAAGTTGTGTGACAACATACGGAGGTCAATTTATGGAATAATTGTAACACTGAATTAAAAATCAAAATTGTAAAAAGTGTACATTTGAGATAATGTACACTTTTTTCCTATAGCCTATTTTTTTACACAAGGAAACCATTTCACTTAGGCCAGAAATAGTCATTATGGCAATTGTAGATGATTACAAATGTGACATTGATTTTGCTGTTGCTATCATAAAACAACATTTGTCAAGGTATTGCATGGAAGCTAGTATCGTGACAACAATAATTCTTACCATCGACAGTAGTCAAAGTGTTACCAAACATTTAAGGGATTTTTCCATCTCGGATCAAAGCAAACACATTAACAGCGGAGACAGGAAGATTATTAACACTTCTTTCCTATGAGCAAGGCAGCTGTAGCTTAGTGTTGAAGGATCTCTGATGAGATGCCTGCACTGACTGTGTGAATTAAACACAGGTGTGTCAATTAATCCGACGATACATATCACCTAACAACACATCTCGCTAACTGCTCATCGTGGAGCTGTCAGTGTTGTCAGCGCTGAGCAGGCAGGCTGAGGGCTTTGATCAGGACGTATGCAGCCTGGTGAGTCAGGGGATGGTCATTCCTCTGCAACTCACCTGTGGCCCTTTCATCTGCACCTGCTCAAACACTGAATTAATGCCTTAGTGGAGGCAGTGAAGGGGGCAGGGTTGGTATTTCTGTTAAACTCATGTTGGGACGGAAATAATAGATTTAATTTAAATAAACTTCTCATCATGGGAATCTTCCATGTGTTATCCCATGTGACCAACAATCGATTTTCAGCATCTCTTCATAATGGTGCCATATCTTCTCTTTATGCAAGTGGGGGGGGGAATACCTTCCTCCAAGATTTGAAAGGACAAAAAGCGATGTGTTATAAATGCGTTATAACCCGTTTACATGTTAAGGAAACAAAAGCCTTAATAGTAAGAACTGTAAGAATCCTGCACCACAGTGGATTTAAACAAAACTTTGTTTTTTTTAGCTAAATTATCTTTATATAAGGTTGCCACATCCTGTCTACAGAAATACACTAAAATATACATTACTGAAAACAGTTACAAAAGTTAAGGCGTGGCAAAGTGCAAAAAAGCCTAAAGAAATCTCAGAATGACCCTAAAAACTGAAAAATATATATATATTTTTTTATTTATAAACGTGTAATATACTGTTGACATGTAGCCTACTATAGGCTTAAGGAGGAGATAAAGCGATAATAATAAGAACTGTTTCCTGCTTTTTTTTCAAATAAGGATGATTTGCAAACTCTCTCTAAAAAGTGTTTTAACCTAATATCGGCAGGAGGTGGTGATTATGCATTTTAATCTGTTCTTGTTTTGGAAAAATAGCAACTTTTTGCACTAAAACGCACCCAAAATATTGTTTCTTCACTACTAATTAGGTATTGTGTTTGTTCAGGACGAAGGTAGCAGACAGACAGGGATTGGAAGAAATTACTTCCTGGGTTTGCAAGTTCTGCAGGGAGAAGCAAAATAGATTTAGAGTGTCTAGTTTGAGCTGCGGCTAAACAAACACTATGTGTGGTGGGCCTGACGACTGAATAGCCATCTCCGTTTGTCCCTGGCACACAGGTAGTTACAGGGATTTATTTTCTGTCTGAAAGTAGACCCCCTACTCCCTACCCCCAAAAATTCTGTGTTTGTCTGTGCCTGGGTCCTTTAATGCCCATTGATCCAGATAATCAGGGACAAGATTGTTGAAAAACCGGTGGGGGAGGTTCTGACAGTAGATGCTCAAAAGAGCTGCTTGTGGATAATTGGAGGAGGCATTAAGACAACAATAGTAATGGCTAATGCCAGGTCTTATTGGATTCTCAGGTATCTCCAGCTCCCCGGATGACATGCAACACTGGAGATCCTCAGCTGAAATGTCAATCATTGTATCATTAGCAGACCTTCAGCTGCAGGGACATTATCTATGGGTTTAGAGAGCCACCAATGGGACGCTCTTCAGATGGCTTTAGTTTCAGATGGACCTGTTTGAGCCTGCATTCCATCATGCAGGTTTAAGGACAGGGACATCTGAAATCCTCCTCAAATGTGTGTTTTGGGATCTGAGATCATTTAATGATTCTCAAATTTGGAAACACCTGAAATTCCAGGTCAGAGAAAGTCATACACTGGATATTAGAAGGCAATTGCACATGTATCTCCTGAAGAGGCAACGTTGCTCTGTGCTAAACACGAGGATTGTGAAGTGGAAACGCAATCCTCCTGTTAAATTAGCCATACCTTTGTGGACTTAAAAGCACTTTCAATGAGTTAACATTTGAATTCAATGATGCCGGCTACCTTTCATTGACAGACATGGCTGTAGTGGATTCACTTTCACTCTGCCCTCAGTGTGATGAGATACAATCCGACCTAATGGAAATTGTGAACACTTCACATTATTATGCTTTCTCATCCACTACAATGGCACTTGAGCTCATAAAGCGAGAGTTTTTGCCAAATGTCACGCCAAGATTGATGATTATCGTTTGTCACGGGAATATATCTATCTGGTGTGATTTGCAGGCTGGAACAGCAATGAGCAAAGATAAGATCAATATTTAATGAAAGTGTAAGTGAAGCTTAAGGGTTGTCACTTATGCCTCTGCTGTTAATGACATGTCACATTATCATACTTATCAGATTGGGTCAATCTTAACTGCAATTACGGAGCCTCATTTATTTTTAATTCGTCAAATGTTGAATCATTTCAGTCGTCCACTTCTATGCAAGCACCCCGAGAATTCATCTGACTGCGTGCTTATGTATTTTAGTGTCTGCACAAACTTCAAACTAAAATCTATTAATGGGAGCGTGGATGGGTATAATTCAATCAACACACCTAAAATGTGTTTGTAACTTGGAAGATAGTGTGTGTCATGGCTGAGGAAGCCCCTATGCTCGGTGCCTCACTCTCCCTGGTAATAGTATCCCACAGTGGGCATGCTGATTGTTTTAGTCCTGGATCACCGACCATGGGACAAACCTGAGAGCCCAGCCTGCTTTTCATGTCAAAACCTTCAAGGGAAAGCGGCCACAATCCAAGAGCAATCACACTTGAGACATCAAAGTGCCACGGAGAAGAGAGGCGAGAGATGGTCCACATTTTTTCCACGCAAGCCAAGCGCAACTCATGCGTGGAGGAAGAGGAGATGATCTAAGGGAGGGTGCCATTGAGAGGAAGACGGAGAGCAGACAGATGTGCAGGGGCAGGTAGCGGCACATCGGGGCCCCTCCTGCAGCTGAGAGACATCGAGAAGCCTCCGCCGGTCGCATTCCTGCTCGCTGCTCATTCACTGGCCACTTTCACACGGGCAGGAAGAGCTCTGACAACCGTGGGCCTTTGAAACAATATCTCACAATCTAACATTCTCATGGTTAGTGCTGGAAGAAGTATTCAAATCCTGTAGTCAAGTACAACGAATACAACAATGAAAATCAACTGAAAGTCCAACGTTTTATGTAAAAATGAGGAAAATAGGTATCAATTGTTATTCCTTAATTGTACCTAAATAATTAAAAGTGTCTCATGAAGAACAATTTCACTTCCGAGAGAGATACTAATGTGTAAATCTGAATCGTACTGTGTTAGTTGGTCAAGA